ATGGTTGCCCCCATGGTTGCCCCGATGGTTGTCCCCATGGTTGTCCCGATGGACAGTGGTTTTCCCGATGGTTGACTTGACGAGTGTCCCGATGGTTGACTTGACGGTTGCCCCGATGGGTGCCCCGGCAGGTGCCCCGAAGGTTGTCCCAGATAGATGGATACAACGACACCTTTAGCACCGCCACCACCACCAACAACAACATTTCGAATGCATTTGCACTCAAGCCGCTTCGCCCTGCAGAGGGCTGCCAGCATCGACACCGCAGCAGCGTGTCGCCGTGGAGCGGGCCGCGCCAACTCGCGGTGCCAGGCTATGCCAGCGCCAGGCCATGCCCTTGCTCGCGCCCGGCGAAGCAACGCTACCCGTATAGCGTCATCTCCCGCGCTGAGATCGCAGAGCTCAGTCCCGCCCACGTGATGACGGGCGAGCAGCTGTTCCAAGCTCTCAAGAAGGTTCTGGGCGCGAGGCGCGTCGACTGGTACGCGTCGAAGACCTCGCAGGAGAACATCGGCAAGCGCGAGCAGGAGAGCAACTGCCGGGCCCACTCAGAGCACGGCGACCCGATCAGGCCTTTCGAGTTTGAGGCGACTCGGAACCAGCACTCGAAGGACAGGTGCTTGCCTTACACAGCGATTGCGATGTTCACCCGCCGCAGGACATGGATGCTGCGGAGGCATGGCGGATTCTGAGCTGTTGCCAGAGGTCGCGCACCGGTACATGATCGACAGCTTGGCGCGGCTTGGCGGCGCCAAGCTCTGCCAGTGCATCTGCCTCACAGGGCGCGGCGGCTGGCGCGGAGGCCGCGCGGGGTGCCCGGGCCGCGCCGCAAGGGCTTGCAGAGGAGGGCGCGGGCGCGTGCGGCTCTGCTGGCAAGCCGGCGGCACTCGGGGCGGCTGCTCCAGGCTCTGCCAGCCCAGCCCAGGGCGCAGGAACAGCGCCGCCGCCGCGTCCGCTGCGTCCGTGGAGGGTCGTGCCACCGCTGGTTTTGCAGTCTAGGCTGCGTCCGCCATTCTTCGCCGCGGGGGCGGCGGCGCCGTCGGCTCCGTCGGCTCCGTCGGCCGCGGCTTCGGCTCCGTCGGCTCCGTCGGCTCCGTCGGCGCGCGCCCCTGCAGACGCTGCCTTTCCATTCTCTGCGACAGGTGCGGGGCTGGGGTCGGCGCGCCCGCCGCCCTCTCTTGAGGCTGACGCGGAGTCGGTCTCGGAGAAGAGCGTGACTAGCGAGCCGGCAGCGGGGGCTGCGCAGGGCGCCCTCGCCCCGCCGCAGAGGCCGCGGCCGCGCCAAGCTCTGCCAGCAAGCCGGCGGCAGCGGAGGCCGCGCAGGGCGCCCTCGCCCCGCCGCAAGGGCCTGCAGAAGGGGCCGCGGCCGCGCCGAGCTCTGCCAGCAAGGGCGCTGCAAAACCTCACAGAGGCGTTTGCCGCTAAGGATTATGTCCAGGAAATTATCGACGGGGGCAGCCCCGACGACGCAGCAGAAGAAGCCGCCGGCTTCGAGAGCGCCGCGGAGTTCGCCGAGGACCTGCAAGGGCCGGTCTCTGACAGCACTGCAGCGGGCATGCGGCACGCGCGCGGCCGCCGATCATGCCGCGGCGCGCGCGGACGCGCTGCCGTCGCCATTGCAGCTGGGGCGGCAGCCTCGGCGCGAGCAGAGTTCAAAGCTGGCCCAGATGCGGGCCGTCAAGGAGCGGGGGGTTGAACGTGCGCGCTATCGCTGCGTCGCGGCTAACCCGAAGGACGCGGACATCCAGGCGGTCCCGCGCGGCGCTGCAGGGGGATGGGGCGGTGGGTGGGTGGGCGGGGGTGGGGGGGGGGGGGGGGGCGGCGAGGATTGGGGGGGCGACAGGGGGGGCGTCAAAGAGGATCGCGGTAAGGAGATGCCGCTGGTAGTTTTATTTTGGTTTCTGAGGCGCATGGGGCGGGGGCAGGGGGGGGCGGGGGGCGGAGGGGGCTGGGGGGAGAGCGGGGGGGGCGAGAGCGGGGACACACGGCGCGAGCTGGAAGGAGCAAGAGCGGGGAGAAAGAGGGCGGGGGGCACTCGCGAGGCATGCTGTCCAGAGCGCGTCTGGAGCTCTTCGAGTTCGGGGGCGGCAGAAGCCTGTCCGAGTTGGAGTTGTCGCCAGGCTCTGACAGCGATGGCGACCAGGAGTTCCTGGTCGCTGCCGACTGGCGCATTTCGCGGGCCGCGAATCTCATGCAGGGTCGAGACCAGTCTGCGTACCTCCTGGGGCAGCGCTCGAAGTTGCTCGGAGACCTGCGGGCGTAAGCGCGGCGAGCAGTGTCTCAACTCCGCGGGGGGTCGCGCGCGCGTGCATGTGGGCCCGGCGAAGAAGCACTCGGGCGAGCTCGCCGAGCTGGATTGCAGGTGCCCAGGCCGGGAGCTGCGCGCCGCGGTGCCAGGCTGTGCCGGCGCCGCGCCCCCTCAGAGAAGCGAGACTGGCTCTGCCGTGACGGCGGCGCGCCCGCGGGGGAAGTGGACCCCGAATCCGGCCGTCGCTGCGACGAATTCGCAAGATCGCACTTCAAATGGACGGGCGGGCCCCGGGCGCGGCGCCTGGCGCCCGCGCCGAAGATCTGGCCGAACTGGCGTGCTAAGGTCACCCGCGCGCGCGCCCCGCGCCATCGGGCCGTGGCCTTCGGGCGGCACAGCGCCGGGTCGGCGGTCGCTCTGGGGGGGCTCATGCGGGCTTTCAGAAAGCACTTCACAGGAAGCATGCGCATTACTACTACCGCGCGCTCCGAATCGTGGCCCTGCAGCGGGCCAAGGCCTCCAGGTCGCCAGGCTCCGGCAGCGGCGCCGGCCGCGCGGCGGCGGGGCGGGCCCCGGGCGACGCATTTGCGGGCGCGCTTCAGCTTCAATCAAGATCAGCCCATGAAGGGGCGGGCGGCCGTCGTTGGCGTAGAGGTGGAGAACGCGCCGGCTTTCTTCTCTGAGGCCGTTCGCTGCGTCAGTGCCCGCGCTCTGCGGGGCGCGCGCCCGCCGCGGCTGGGGCGCTCTTTCTTCCGGGCTCTGCCAGGGCGCGGCGCGTCGTCGAAGTGCGCGAGGCCATCTTTATTGACGTGGCGCGCCGATCTCGCGAGCACTGCGTTCGGCCCGTTAGTGGTGGGTGAGCTCGCTCGCATCGTAGAAAGCGTCGGCCTTCTGTTCAGTGGCGTCGTCGCGCGGCCGCGGCCTCCGCGTCGCGCATCTCCCGGGGCGGGGCGGGGCGCCAGGAGCACATGCGCCGCGAGTGCGCAGAGCGGAGCAGCGGCGCGCCAGTCTCTGACAGCGCGCCTTTGCGGGTTCTGCTTCTGCGTTGTTTCGCTGCAGGGGGAGATGGCCAGGACTTTCTCACGCGGGTGATGCCTGCGCGCGCGACCGCCGGGCGCGCGGGGCCGGGGCGCCCCCTGGGGCGGGCAGCTCTCGGCAGCGCTGGGTCGCGGCCCCGACTAGCAGGAGCGCCAGGGCGGAAGCAGCCGGCGCTACGACTAAACCGACAGTGGCCAGATATGGCACCACTGGGCGCCCTTTCGCGGCGCGCTAGGGGATGGGGGGCGAGCCCCAGCGGCAGCGGGGTTCCGCCGGGCCTTGGCGACGACGCCGGCTAAGACGACGACGGGGATGATGATGATGCTGGGATTGCTGGTGGCGATGGGCGGTGGCGACTGCGGCGACGGCGATGGCGGGCGCGACGGCGACGACGACGGCAACGACGCCGTCAGCCGCCCGCCTCGCGGCACCAAGCTCTGCTAGCGACATGTCGGGTGGCAGTGGGGTTGATTTTTCTCGGGCGCGCAGCTGTCAGAGCACGCGCCACTGGGCAAAGCTGGTATCGCGCTGTGGCGCAGTAGCATGCACAAAAACCATCAGTTCGCACGTCCACCACCGCCCCACCACCCTGCCATAACCGCCGCCGCCACCACTTTCACCACCACTCACCATTATTATGATTACCAACAGAACTCAATGCATCGATAGATAAAGAGGCGCGTGGATAGATATATATATATATATATATATATATATATATATATATATATATATATATGTGTGTATATATATATATATATAGACGGCTGGATAGATGAACCAATGCATAGACATATAGGTACATGGAAAGGTAGGTCGTTGGGAAGATCCATGCATAGCAAGATAGATGGGCAGGTGCGCGCAGCCAAGCGGCAGCCAAACACAACAAAAAGGCCGGCGGGCAAAGAGCTGCCACGTAATTTGCTCTGCAACAGGCAAGCACATATCACCTATCTCCGCTTGCTGCTATACAGTGCGGGGCAGGCAAGTAGAAGCCACCGGTTATCGCCGCCTAGTGCGGGTAGAAGCAAATCAATGCGATCTACTGCGCCTGTCGCCACCAAGTAGCGCGCGAACGAGTTAATGCCACGTCCTTGCGCCAACCACTCCCGCTGTGTATATATATATATATATATACATATACATAATGCTCTGTCCCTGACATGTCTCGCAGTGTTCTCGAGGGCGACCGCTCGACAGGACGTCGTTTCCATAATCCTTTTTGGCTCTGTAGTTCGAGAGGGCCGCGCTCACGCCTTCCATGTGGCCCTGGCTGGCGGACCGCGGCGCCAGCCTCGCTCTCGGCTGCCTCGGGCGGCGCCCTGCGGCGCCGAGCTGTCCGCCCTGCCCGAACTGCAACCTCGCCTGCGCGCAGGTTGTGCGCCCGGCCGCGCCTTCTCGGCGGCCGCGCCCCAGGAGGTGCCGGCCGCCCCGCGGGGCCCTCAGGCGCCGCCTGCCGGGCCGTGCCCGGAGCCAGCGCCCTGCGCGGGCGGGGCTGGAGGCTGGTGGCTCTTCCTGCTCGGCCTCCTCGCGGGCGTGCTCCTCAGCGCGCTTGCCCGAGCCGCCTGGCGGGCGGCGGTGGCCTCCGCCTGGGCCCTCGTGGCGCCCCGAGCGCGTCCAGCTGGCGCGCCGGCCCTGGCGGGCGAGCCGCCGGCCGCCGCAGCCGCCCCTGCGGGGCTCTCGGAGGCGACGCCATCCTCGCTGAGGAGGCGGCATGGCAGCCCGCACGCTTGACGTGCCAGAACGACAGATTCTGGTTGACTTCTTCGACGACCCCAACGGGTTTCGATGGCACATGCGATTGCTGGTCCTGGCCACGCCGAATCCTGGGCAGTGGATATGCTCGACGCCGGATCTGAGCATCCAGTTCATCGACGTCACGACGCACAGGGTGATCCCGCTCACGCGGGACTCGGAGTTCCCTCGGAGGGTCAGGGGCGAGGTCTGCGCCTTCGATCCTCTGACCCCAGAGGAGCTCCAGCAGGTCCGCAGGGAGGCGAAAGAGCTGCTGGCCGTCTACGGGCTCACAGGGGCCGCGGACGCGCAGCCAGAGGGCGGCCGGTGGCTGATCGCCGACCCCGCCCACCCGGGCTTCGGCGACGCGCTCCCTGCCGCGGCCCTCGCCGACGGGGACAGCCCCATCATCCGAGGCGACCGCGGTCTCGCCTGCGTGGGCGAGGACTGGATCGCCGTCGAGAGGGTGCTGGGCGAGGACCTCGACAACTGGCGGCTCCTTAAGTCGACGGGCGCTGGCCGCGACAGGCGCATCCTGGGCGACGAGCGTGTCAACGGGGCGCCTGTGCTCACTCTGACCGCCGCGGCGCGGGCCAGCAGCAAGGCCCTTCGGCCTGGCTGGCCCTTCCGCGGCGACGCCTGCGCTCCCGAGCTTGTCATGGCGCTCGTCGCCGCGGGGATCGTCTTCATCGCGCGCCACCTCGACTGGGGGGCGAAGTCAGGGGTCGGCACCACGTCGGGCGTCTGCAGGACGCACCGCCGCATCTGCGAGGGCCTCGACCAGGCCATCTGCTACGACCAGCTCGACTTCGCCAACTGCGCGGTCATCGAGCACCTCGCCCGCTGGCTCTACGAGGTGGAGTCGGCGGTCAGGAGGAGATCCAAGGTGCCGGACTTCACGAACCTGGACGGCATCTTCGCGGCGCCGATGGCCGAGGACGGGCGGATGCAGCTGCCGACCTTCTCCAAGTGGGTCTCCTCGCTCCGCCGCGACGAAGCCCAGATCATGAAGCAGAGCGGCTCTGGAGCGAGGGGCACGGGATCGACCGCGCCAAGCACAAGGGCAAGGGCGGCAAGGGCCCGGGCCGCGGCGGCGGCAAGGGCCCCAACCCCTCGGCCGAGCAGGGGCCTCTGGCCCGGGGGCGCCCGGGTCAACGGGGCAGGTTCTCTGGCGACGCCTGCCTCGACATCGCTTGCTGCCCGGGCGCCCCTCTTGTCGCCCTCTCCGTGCTGACGTTCCTCGTGGGCGACCTCCTGGTCGGTGGAGGCCCCGACGTGAGTTACGGCACGGACGAGCCTGGCGGTCCGACGATGCTGGTGACGGCCCTCGGCCAGATCCCGCCAAGGACTACCGCGCCATCCAGGGTCACAGTCACAGAGACCCCTTCCCCCATCCCGCTGTCTGGGGAGGTGTTCGCGCGCGGCGGCCATGCTGGGCCTGCATCGCGGTCGCGAGTGCGGTGTGTGCGCGAGGCGATCTGGTCTCTGAACGCTCTCGACGCCCCATCGCGCACCCTTCGGGCGCATCAGCCTTCCTCGAGCCGTCGCCTCACGGAGGCGCAGCGCTCGATCATCTCGCGCGTCAGCCGGCGCATCGAGAACTACGGAGAACGGCCCGACATCCTGCCCGCTACCGCCTACGCCGACCTCATCAAGAGTCACGACCTGTACTCGGGGCAGCCGATGAACCTGAAGCCGTACGACCCCGACCTCCTCAAGGTACTTCATCGTGACCGTCACCCTCAGGTGCTTCGCGGCTGCCTGGGGTCCGAGGGCCGGAGGTACCTGGACAACGCCGACGAGCTCATCTTCAGGACTGAGGCCGAGCTGGGCGCCTTCCAGGAGAGCGAGATGACCCAGCCCATCACGCCGTACTGGGACCCGATCCTCAAGAACAACTGCTGGGCCAGGATCGACTTCATCAAGCGCCTCGCCTCCGTGGGCCTCGTCGGGTTCAGGCTCTCCATCCGTGGCCGCATCGGCGCCTTCTGCGTGGGCAAGAAGGACGGGTCGCTCCGCCTCGCCCTGGATGGGCGGGAGCCCTCCTCGCTCCACAGGAGGCCGCCCCATGCCGCCTTGGGATCCGCCGGGGCCCTCGCAGGGCTCGACCTTTCGGATCAGGCTTTGCGGTCTCAGGGCGTCGACCCCCTGGCGGCCGACATCCACGCGGCGGGCCTGGACCTCAAGGACGGGTTCTACCAGTTCGCGAACGACGACCTTGCGGACTGGTTCGGGTTCAACTACCCGGAGGCCGCGTCCGACTTCGGCGACCCGCTGGTGCACATCCACGCCGACGGCCGTTTCGTCCAGGTGTCGAGCGACACTCGGATCTTCGCGGTCTTCCGGGGCCTCTTGATGGGCTGGTCGTGGTCACTGTCTTTTGCCAAGATCTTCTAGAGGAGGCCCAGTGCAAGGGCCTCCTGAGCCTGGGATGCGATGACGGCAGCCGCCTGGTGCACGAGCGGTGCCCCGCGCCCTTGCTGGCGCCCGGTCGCCCGCTGCCCCAGCCCTACGTGGACAACGCCAACGTCATCGGCCTCAACTTCAGGGACACCGAGCACGCGCTGCGCGGCATACAGCATGTCCTGGACTACCTGGGCATCGACTACCACGACCAGGTGGAGCCCACGAAGCTGTACACCACGGTCGGCGTCGTACTCGACACGACCGCACGCCGCCTCCGTCATACGGAGGCCCGAGCCTGGCGCTTCTATTTTAGTCTGGAGCACCTGCTGCGTGTGCGTCGTGCTTCAGGCCGTGCCCTCCGTGTCGTGTATGGCCACCTGGTCAACCACTTCATGATCCTGCGGCCGGCGCTCTCGGCATTGGATGAGGGGTACCGCTTCGTCGCACAGCACTTGGACGAGCGGGCCCCCCTGGGCCGCCACCTGCTGGGCGAGCTCCGCGTGGTGAAGGGCCTGCTGTTGCTGGCCGACGTGGACCTCGCCGCCCCCTGGTCGCGCGTAGTCTACTGCAGCGACGCGTCAGGCGGCGAGCTGCGCGACTGGACAGGCTGGCCCTTCGCCGTCGCGGGGAACGGCGGCTGCGCCCTCCACGAGACGGCCTGCGCCGACTACGAGGTCATGCAGGCTTTCAAGTACCGCGAGCGCTGGAGGTTCAAGATGGAGGAGGAGGAGCTGGTCGCGCCTGGAGCCCCGAGTGACGGGATCCGCGGCTGGACCCCTGAGCCCACGGCCACCTCCGACCTGCTCATCGCCGGCCTCCTGGCACCCTGCTCCAAGCCGTCGGTGATCGACCGGCGCCTCCCTCGCACGAGGACCGTCATCGTGCAGGGTGCCGTGCCAGCCCTGGGCGACTCCCTTCTCGTCCGCAGCCGCTGGAAGATGATCGTGCGGGGCGCCTTCCGGTACAGGGCCTCCATCCACGTGAAGGAGGCCCGGACTCAGCTCTTGGGCCTCGTCCGCGCCTCGCGCGACCCCCGTATGCACGGGCTCCGCGTCGGCAGCCTGGGCGACAACATGGCGGCGCTCCTCAGCTTCGAGAAGGGGCGCGCCCGGGACAAGGCCCTCCTTCAGCTGTGCCGGGTCAGCGCTGCCCGGCAGATCGGGTGCGAGATCCAGTGGTAGCAGCGCTACTGCGAGTCAGGCCGCAACCCGACGGACGCCGACAGTCGCGCAGCTGACCTGGGGCACGTCCTACCTGACCACCCCCAGCGTGGCTGCCAGCGCGCCGTGGCCAGCATCGAGTCGGCCAACGCAGGGCTGGCGGCGGACCCTCCGGGGCCTCCCGCCCGCGTGCGCCGCCCGGCGCCCGGCGGGCCGGCCGCCGGCCTCTCGCCCGGCGAGGCGGCTGCACGCCTGGCTCGGGCGGGCGCCCTCGCGCGGCGGAGGCCCCCTCGGGCTGGCGCGCCCCCCCGGGCATCCAGCGCCCGAGCCTCCTCGCTCTGCCCCGCGGGCTCCGCCGCGCGCGCAGCCGTGACGGCGTGCTCGGCCACCGCCGCGGGCAGAGCTCCCCCGCCCGACCGCGGCCGAGGCGCCTCGTCGGGACCACGTCCGACGCCGGGCATTCTGCGAGCTCTACGCGGGCACCGGCAGGCTCACAGCAGCCGTCAGAGACATTCGTTTGCACTGTACTCCACACTTCGAGATTGGAAATGAGAAGCATTTCGACGTCCATCATCAATCTGTCTTTCGTACCTTATCACGTTGGAGTCGTCTTAAGAAGCTTTGTATCATTCATTTCGGTACTCCGTGCACATTTTGGTCACCTGCTACTGGGTCCCATCGGGCCTCTCATCAGCTTCAAGGGCTTCGAGCTGCTCGTGCTACCTTGCGGCTCTTACGGCTATGTCATCAGTGCGGTATACACTGGTCTCTGGAGAACCCGGCTGGGTCCAAGCTCTTCAGCTCTGACCCCCTCATGGACTTCCTGAAGGCCTCAGGTGGCAACTGGGCCCTCCTTCACTACTGCCAGGACGGCTGCGCCTATAAGAAGCCCACGTACCTCGCGTCGAGTCCCCCAGAGATCACCTCGCTCGAGCGCCTTTGCCCAGGGAGCCACAGCCACGAGATCCTCCAGGGCAAGGCGTCCCTCGCCTCGCCCTCGGGGGCCATCCGCAGCCATTGGAAGACCAGCCTTGCGGGGGCCTACCCACCTGAGCTTTGCCGCAGATGGGCTCGCCTCCTCGCGGCTTGCGCCCCCCGTGGCGCACGCTGTGCTCATGCCGGTGACCCGCTCAGCGGCGACTGGGATACTGAGCTGGCGGCCGGCTTCCCAGGCGGAGGCATCCAGCTCCAGCGGCCGCAACCCTCCTGCCCTGCCGGGTCGCCGCCCGAGTGGCCCGCCTCGGCGCCGCAGTGGGGCGCCGCCTGGCCCAGCCCTGCCGCCTCTGGCGGGCAGGCGCCGTGCCGGGGCGCATGCCGCCGAGAGCGTCGGGGTGCGCCGGCGCGAGCGGGCAGTCGGAGCGGACAGGCCCTACCTCAAGCACCAGCGCGCCCAGCCCCGCACCGTCTCCCTGTACCGCGAGGCCCGCCGCAAGTTCAGCCTGTGGGCGACCGAGCAGCACCTCCGTCAGGTGCCCATGGGCGAGACCGACCTGGCCATGACAAAGTACCTCGACCACCAGTACTTCCAAGGGCTCAGCATCGCCCATGCCAGGAACGCCGTCCACGGGGCGATCTTCGCGAAGGACTACCCGCGAAGGTCGCCGACCACCATGTACCGAGCCAAGGACTCTCTGGCCGGCTGGTTCAAGGCAGGGCCCGATCGGGTCAGATATCCGATGCCGTGGGAGGCGGCGGTGCTGATGGCCGACAACCTCGCCGAGAGAGACCGCGAGGGGGTCGCCGCCGCTGGGGCCCTGCTCGTCAGCTTCGACGGGTGCGTCAGGCCGAGCAGCGCCCTGGCCATCACGAGTCGCGAGGTGAGCCAGCGCCAGGCCGGGTCCAACCCCAACTGCCCCAGCCTCGTGGCCACGATCACGCCTCAGGCCGACGACCACGGCCAGCAGCCTGCCCCGTCGACCAAGTCAGGGGACCACGACTGCACCATCGTCTTCGGCGACCAGGCCAGTCTGAAGGCCAACAGGGGCATCTGCCGCGACGCCCTGCTCTGGGCCTCTCGCAAGGCCCGCCGCGGCAGGCTCCTTTTCGACATCAGCCTCGCAAAGTACGAGCAGTTCTTCAACCAGGCCGTGGCCGACGTGAAGCTGGGCTCTCTCAGGGTCACGCCGCACTGTGCAAGACACGGGGGCCCGAGCACCGACGCCGCCCTGAAGCTGCGCCCTCTTGAGGCCATCCAGAAGAGAGGCCTCTGGCGCTCGGCATCCAGCGTGCGGCGCTACGAGAAGCATGGCACCCTCATGCGCCAGATTTCAAAGATGACGTCATCCCAGCTTCGTTCTGTGCCGGCAGCCCTGCGCAGGCTGCAGAATGTGTTCAAGCTTTGAGTTTCCCACCCACCTTGCCCTAACAGTCCGTCTTACGGGGTCGGGATGAGGTGAATATTTCGATAATTCAGGCTTTTCTATCTTACTGTGGCACCGCCACAGCAGACGCGACGTTCTTGAGTGGAACCCTCTGGCTAAAGAGTTATCTGTTGCGCTTCGCGCACTGCGTGGCCCCTTCAGCCCACGTCTGCTCTGGTCGCCCGTGTAGACTAGCCTACTGGTGCGTAGCAATGTTCTGTCCCTGACATCTCTTGCTGTGTTCTCGAGGGCGACCGCTCGACAGGATGTCGTTTCCATGATCCTTTTTGGCTCTGTAGTGCCCACCCTCCCTCCCAGGGATGAGGTGAATATCTCGATAATTCAGGCTTTTCTATCTTACTGTGGCACCGCCGCAGCAGAAGCGACGGTCTTGAGTGGAACCCTCTGGCTAAAGAGTTATATGTTGCACTTCGCGCACTGCATGGCCCCTTCAGCCCACGTCTGCTCTGGTCGCCCGTGTAGCGAAAAAATATGTATATATATACACATAGGTATATTCATATATACACACACAGATGATTTGATTGAGGGGTTGATTTGGTAGATCGATGGGTAAACTTATATATATATATATGTATGTATGTACATATATATATATATATGTATATGCATACACCTACATATACATACATACATATATATATATATATATTAGGCTGATCGGAGCAAGCGGGAACAGGTGGTTTGTATTGTTTGTCGTGCACTCTTTGTTGGTGGTAGGCGGGGTTCATTGCAAATCGATTGCCTCCCCTTCCCCCCCCCCCCCCCCCCAACCTCCTTATCACCCAAGGGTGGTCTTATCGGTATACTGCAACTATGCCTGTTTTGATTCCCGAACCAACCGTGTGAAATCGTCATCATCAAGGCCAAGCGTGTTTGTCCGTTGCCCCATGAGGGTCCTCAGTCAATGAGTATCATTCCTCAGCATTCTCGCCCATTCACCATCCCTTTGGAAGCCTATAGAATTTCCCATCATTGGCTACGTTCCATGTACAATGCGAGGCACCCATCCCAGCTTCGCAATTGACAGCACCGAACTGAGTGGCAATCTGTTTACTTTGAACAGTGTGTCGATCATCGCTGCCTGCACCTCGTTCGAGTTTGTGACCTTGAAATTCAAATGTGTACGACGAATGCCCATATATCCAGTGATCGCTTTGGCTTGGAGATACTTGGGTAAAAAAAGGGGTCCTAGGTGTAAGCTGCAAACAAGAACTTTGACCCAGCACATGCTCCACTGTATCTCACCGTGCGTGTATGGGCTCTAGATGCATGCATGGTGCCGCCACTTTCTTGTTTAGCCTAGTTGTTGTCCGTGCTGACCGTATCCGCTCCGTTATCGCATCCCCCATGAACCCTGGGTATTTGACGTGAGTTCTTGACATTCTGTGGTTGCGGACGATGGGCAGTTTGAAATCGAACAGCTCTCTCACCAAGAGCTTGCCGCCCGCCTTTTCATGCGTCTTCGCTTCTAGTCTGGAGCCCGTTCCATTGAACGACATGAGCGCAACTGTCCTGTTGAAGTTCAGATTGAAACCATGTTGAGGTGCGACTTTGTATATGATCTCCACAAGTCGTCCGAGTTTGATTTCGATCTCTGCTGCTCTGGCTGCGGTGGGCGCTGCAAAGTTGTCCACGAAAGCAGTGCTGGTGTGCGGGTTTCACTGTCAGCAGCTGGGCCGAAATGGGCTACTGAAGGTTGGGGCGTCCAAACGAGTCCTTCAGTCATGGCCATATTCTCAATGCGACCCTCCACTCTGGCAAATAACTATGACATTAAACATGTCCGTGGCAGGGGTCGCGCCAGGACGGCATCCTCTTCCAGGGCACGCAAAATCCGACGCACCCTTCGCCCGCTAAAAACTGCTTGTTTGGCTCTCCCGAATCAAGTGGAGGTGGTGGGGGAGCATGTCCACATTGTCGACAGGACCTTTCGTGGCCAGCTCAGGTTCCAACCCTGTTTGAAGAAAGGGGTTCACTTCAACATGCTGGAACGCATCTTCGAGCCTGCCCTGCTCAGCAGGAAGGGCGAGACACAACTGCTAGATGGCAGAATCAAATGCCGCGTGCAGGTCGACAAATGTCCCCCCATGAGACATTGAACATTCGCGCGCCGCGCTCAAAATTGGCGAACCATCAAGATCACATTTTCCAATCCGCGTCCAGGTGACCCTCCGCACTGCACCTGCAGTAAATCTTCCTACGCAAACCTCAGAGCGGCAATACGGAGAGTCTTGTGATGTAGCTTACCTGTCGTGCTTCCAAGAAGCACGTTCCTCTGATTGCTCATGAGTTTGGTGTCACCCTTTCCCTTCTGAAGAAAAGACGATCTCACCGCTTTTGTACCCCAGGGGCTCTCTCTGGAGGAGAGTGGTTTTGAGCAGCAGAGGGTCGACCAAACGAGAGACAGGTCCCTGGGCGATTTTGCCAAACTCTCCGATGATTCCATCCAGGCCGGCGGCTTTGTCCGATGGGCTCTTCCTCATCATATTTTTGGTGTCAAAGAGTAAGGGCAGCACCTCAGCCTGAGGAGTCGGCTCGTTTCGGACGGCCGCACTGCAGTCACTATGTTATTCTAAAAGCTTTTGTTGGCCGGTGATTTTGGCGGCCTCAACGTTGGCAAACAGCCTCTGGACAACCTGCGCTATCTCAGCCTGCGCCGTGGCAGCCCGACCCGTGTCATCCAGCATATCAGGAATTCCTCCTCCTCCACCTCTTATTCCTCTTCCCCCTTCTCATCCTCCTCATACTCCTCTTCCTCCTCCTCCTCCTCTTCCTCCTCCTCCTCTCTCCCACCCCCCTGTCTCCTCCTCCTCCTCCTCGCCCCCTTCCTCCTCCTCCTCGCCCCCCTCCTCCTCCTGCCCACTACTTCGCTGTAGATTGCCAGACGTCACAGCAGGAGAGGCCGCATGTCAGGGCCATGGATCTGTGCGGCATTCCTTTGCCATTCCATGGCCATTTGAGGTCTCTTTGTTGCGCTGAGACCTTGCCGGGGGATGGAGGCCGGGCTGGTGAGGCTGCTCCACGACGTGGGGCAGGCGCTGACCACCGCCTTCGTCGTCCGGGCCTCGGTGGCCGACTGCCCGGACTGCTGGTGCAGTCCGGCCCTGCACTGCCCAGCGCTGCAGTGCGCGTGCCCCAGCGGCGAGGGCACTTTGGCGGCCGCCGCCGCCCCGGGGTGCCCCGGTCGCAGCTGGCCTGGGTGGCTGGCCTCTCGCTCCTCCTGGGCGCCGTGCTCGGGGCCGCGGCCGTCTCGTGGGCCTGGCGGCCTCGCCCGAGGGCGCTTGCAGCGCCCGCCGCGGCGTCCGTGGAGGCGGACAGCGCGCCTGCGGGCGACGACCTCGTGCACCTCGCGCTGGAGCAGGCGAAGGCCTTCCGCAGGACGCCGGTTGCCGCCGCTTGTTGAAGATGGCGGCTGGGCCGCTGGCGGGAGGTTTCCACCTGACCAGGTATCGAGTGGGAGGCCCCGCCCTGTACCATGAGCGACTGGACATTTTCCGCTCAGGGTACGTGATGACCCCGGATTTCGACGACTACGGGGAGACCACGAGCCCCGACGCGGACGTGATGGAGATCCACTTCGTACACGGGCAGGGCGGCAGGGCGGGGGGCGTCCAGGAGAACCGAGTCTACAGGTTTCGGCGCCTCCCCACGGCGGCCGAGGTCTGGGGCGCCCTCCGCCGCGGCGCAGCGCTGGGGCACGGGCCGTTGCCTGACGGGCCCTTCCTCCTCACGCTGTCCGCGGTCAACTGTGCCGGCGCGCCGGCGGGCAGCATGCCGCTGGCGGACCCGACGATCGTGGTCCCCCCCCTGGTCGACGTGGCCGGGGCCCACCCCGCGGCAGCGGACCCAGGCGCGCTGGCGCTTCCTGGGGCGGCCCCGCCAGCCCCGCCGGCGGCCGCGGCCGCGCCGGCGCCGGCAGCCGCGGCCCCAGCCGCCGTGGCCCCCGCCCCCGGGGCGGCCGCTGCTCCAGCGGGTCGGGCGCCCGCGGTGCCAGACACAGCGGCGGCCGCGCCGCTGCCGAGCGGGGAGCCCGCGCCAGGCTGGCACTGGGTGGCTGCCGAGGACGTCGACGGCGCCGTGGCGTTCGGCACGAAGGTGGCCGTCGGAGTGCCGGGCGGAGCGACCCTCGTGGGCCGTGCGGGTCGGCGCGGGCTTCTCACGTTGGCCGGCGGCGGCGGGGCCAGCGCGGTGCTGCTGAGAGACAGCGAGATCCCGTGGTTCACTCAGGAGTACCGCGGAAGCGACGCTCGCACACTCGAGATCCCGCCGGGAGCTGGGCAGCCAGGCGGCAACGCTCGGGAGTGGCGCGAGGTGGTGCTGCTGTGTCGCGAGGAGCCCGTGCCGGGGTTTGCTGTGGCTCCTCCGAGGACGGCGCAGTGGTGTGCCAAGTACCAGGTGAAGGAAGGGGGCCCCGTCCTCCATCATGAGATGTGGAAGTCGAAGCGGAAGCTGAACCCAACCGACTTCGGGGTGGACATGCACGAGACGCTCTCGAAAATGATCGAGGCCATGGGCACCGCCGACCACCTGGACGTCTACAACTTGGCGAGCGCGGAGCTCGGCTACCGTAAGCTCCAGCTCATCGAGCACTACTGGGACGACAGGAGCGCAGAGCAGCAGCAGCACAACATGCGGATGCCCTTGGAGGAGGCATTCGCATTCATGGGAGGCTCGAGGTCTCCCTCGATGGTGTGCCCGGAACTGCTCGACTCGGTGTCGAAGGAGCTGGAGCGGATCCACAGCATCAAGAAGAACGCGAGGAAGCTGAGGGAGGAGCAGAAGGCCAACAAGGGCGGCCGGGACGCTCCTCCCCCCAAGTCATGATGCTGGGACCGCCCCCGGGACTGCCTCGGCCCGGGGGTGATGCAGAAGAGGTGGGGGGCAGAGGTGACGACCACATGCAGCGGTCGCTCCTGCCCTTGCCAGTCCCTGACTGGTGTCGTCTCGCGGCGGCTGCCGCCGGCGGCGGCGGCGGCCGCGCAGCGCGGCGTCGCCGCGCCAACAGGGCGCTGCAGGGCGAGCTCGTGACTGAGCTAGTGGTGGCGCTCAACCAGCTGGACGCCGGCTCGGATGACCCGCCGCGCCGCGCAGGCCAGGAGCCCAACAGGATGCAGCAACTTTGCTTGGAGCATCTCGCCGAAAGCTGTGCGGCGATGGGCTCCATTCCTCCAGATTTGTCGACCGAGGTGGCCCTCCAGGAGCTCCAGGTTGGCGCCGGCTACTCCGACGGCGAGCCCGTCACGGTGGCCCCCTTCGCGCACGACCTCGTGTCTCTGCCAGCTGTGGGCGGTACGCCTGTGCCCCTGAGCCAGTTGCTGGGAGACGACGGTCCAGATATCGTGCGAAGGTTCATCACTTCGAAGGTTTTGCCAATTCAAAGCGCCGAGATTTTTAAGAAGGAGGCTGGTTTCGCACGCCCTTACCTGGACCCGGTGCTGCGGCAGCCCGCGGCCTACCTGGCCTCCGTCGAGAGGATGAGGGACGGTGGCATGCTGGAGTTCAGGATTGATGAGGGGGATTTTGAGGAAGTCGGTCTATTCACCGTTTGGAAGAAGGATGGTCGCCAGCGCCTGGTGATCGATTGCAGGGGCAGCAACTTCCGGTTCGGGGGGCCCGACAAGACCAGCTTGGCGTCCGGGGGCAGCTTCAGCTCCATCGAGCTGGCGCCGGGCGAGGTGCTGTGGACGGCGGGCGTCGACATAGCGGACGCTTTTTACAACATGGGCCTGCCGCCGGAGCTCCGGCACCTCTTCGCGCTCCCGCGGCTTCGGGCAGCGCAACTTGGAGTGCGAGAGCTGGGCGGGCGTCCAGTTCCTGGTCGTGCTTGGGCGCGCCCGTGCTTGGCCGTCCTGCCTATGGGCTGGACGCATGCGCTGGACTTCTGTCAGAGAGTGCACAGAAATATCTTGCTCCAGAAGGGGGGGTTTGAGAGCGTTCCCGAAGTGGTCGATGGTATGCCGACGCCTCCCATCCAGGACGGGGCCTACACAGCCTATGTTGACAATTTCATTTCCTTTGGAGTAAATCCTGGCAGGCCTGCGGCCCTCCTGAGGTCGGCCCAAGAGGCCTTGAGCGGCGCGGGGCTCCCTCTGCACGATCCTGATCTCCCCGCCTCGGTGTCTGAGCAGCTGGGGTGGGTCTTCGACGGGGAGCGTGGAGCTGTGAGACCGAAGAGTCGTCGTGCTTGGAGGTTTCGTCTTGGGATCCAGGGATTGCTTGGTCGTGGGCACGCTTCAGGGCGACAAGTGGGGAAGATTGCTGGCCACTTTGCGTTCATTGCAATGTCGAGGCGCCCGCTCTTGGCCGTATTTAGTTCTGTGTATGCCTTCTCGAGGAAGTACTTCGATCGGGTGATGAAGCTGCCGCCATCTGTCCGCCGTGAGCTTCGCTGGGCCGCCTCCCTGATCCCCCTGGCTTGGGCTGATCTCAGGGCCACCTGGTCTCCCAGGATCTACGCGAGCGACGCTAGCGAGGAGGGGAGGGGCGTGTGCCAGAAGGAGGCCGACCTGGGAGCAATTCGTGGTGCTGGGAGGTACGGGGAGAGGTGGCGATTTCGACGACCAGCTGCTTCGCGACCTCGCGACTGCCTCTTCGAGCAGAGCGACCCGCCGACCGCCGACACCGCGAAGTCCGAGCCGATTGCCGAGATCGCCGTGTCGCCGGGGGTGGAGCCTGTCGTGTCGACGGGGGTGGCGGTGGAGGACCCAGAGAGTAACTTGTGGAAGGTCCCGGAGGTGGAGGAGGAGCTGTACGGGGGGAGGTGGCAGGTGGTGTCGAGCGGAGGGTGGGCCCGGGCCGAGAAGATCATCGCCCTCGAAGGTCGGGCCCTCGTTCATTCTCTTAGGCACGCACTTCGCGACTCGAAGTCCTTCGGTAAGCGTATCCTCTTCCTCTGCGATAACATGGGGCTCGTGTGTGCTATGGAAAAGGGGCGCTCCTCAGCCGGGGGAGTCCTCCGCGTCGCCCGGCAATGGGCCGCCTGGTGCCTGGCGGGCGCGGTGCAGGCCTCGGTGCGCTGGATTCCGTCTGAACGGAACGTCGCCGATGCGCCGTCGCGCCGCCACATCCCCCTCGGGGTTTGGCTCGACGGCGCCGCGGCGGACTCTGCCGAGGGCTTCAAGCAGTGGGCCGTCCGGGACGCCGGGCGCAGCAGCCAGCTGGCCGACTGCCGCAGCGCCGGCCTCGAGCTCGCCGAGCTGGCCGTCCGCGAGCCTGCCGTCGGCGCTCTGCGGGGCGCCCGCCGGCCGGCACGCCCTGCGGCGAGGCGGCCCGCCTGCCGAGCGGCCCCCGTTTCGGAGGGGGCGGCACCTGAGTGCTGTCGCAGCCCAGTCGCGCCAGGAGCAGCGGGCGCCGCCACCACCCGCGGCCCGGAGCCGCAAGATGGCGCGAGCTGCGAGGCGCGGGCAGGGAGCTACTGCTGCTGCTCGTCGGGCGGCGCTCCGAAGCCATGGATCGCTGCTGCAGCGGGCCTCGGTGACTCCGAAGACCGTGGCCCAGTACGACGGCCTGTGGCAGGACATCCTCCGCATGTGGCTTCGGCTGCGACCGGCGGGCTCCCTGCAGGCGGAGCCGAACGACGACGAGATGGACTTAGTGGTCGCCAGCTGGATGGACCAGGAGTACTCTTTCGGGGAGCTCGCGCAGAGGGGCACCAAGGGGCTAGCGGCGGTGAAGTATTTCCGGCCGCAGTTCGCGAAGTCGGGAGGGCTCTCCCTTCCGCGCTCGGCGCAGGCCTTGAAGGGCTGGAAGCGGCTCGCCCCTGGGCGTGCTCGGCTGCCGCTGCCATGGGAGGTCGTCGCGCTGATCGCGCTGGAGCTGCTGCTGACCGGCTTCTGGGCGATGGCGGCTTGGACGATCATCACCTTCCACTGCTACCTGCGCCCCAGCGAGCTGCAGCGGGTCACCGCCGAGATGCTCGCGCCGCCTGTGCCAGGGACCCGCGTGGCAAATTGGGCGATCGTGCTGCGCCCAAGCGAGGAGGAGATCAGCAGCAAGACAAGAGAGTTCGACGAGACCGTGGTGTTCGATCAGCCGCTGTTCCGTTTCCTCGTGCCCGTGCTCGCCTACCTCAAGAGGGAGACGCCGGCCGGGGAGCCGCTGTTCGCCTTCCGGCACGCCGACCTGGTGGTCCAGTTTCGGGAAGCGGCAGGACGCGCAGGGGTCCAGGCTCTGGGCCCGGAGCTGTACATGCTGAGGCACAGCGGGCCCAGCCACGACCGAGCGTCCCAGCTGCGGACGCTGCAGGAGATCAAGCTGAGAGGTCGTTGGCATTGCGACTCCAGCGTGAGGCGTTACCAGAAGGAGGGGCGCGTGGGCGAGCAGCTGCAGCGGCTGTCCCCAGGCGTCCGCGCGAGGGCGGTCGAGGCGGCGACACAGCTGCCGACTTGCCTCGCGAGGCCTTCGCTCGCGCCTTGGCCAGCCGGGGTGCCCGCCTGGTCCAGCCGCAGGTCTTTCTAGAGCTGTTCAGCGGGCATGGCGGGCTCTCGCGGGCGCTGCGTGAGAGGGGCTTCGCCGTGCTCGAGTGGGATATCTGCCGTGGGCCAGCCTGGGACCTTTCGGCAAGGAGGGCCCAGAAGCTCGTGAGAGGCTGGCTCTTGGCCGGACAGGTCTGGGGAGTGTTCATGGGGACGCCGTGCCAGACGTGGACGAGGGCCAGGGACACGGGGCCGCTGCGAGAGCTAGGTCAAGCTGGACCACAGCTCCCGTCGCGGCTCCGATCTGACCAGCATCTGATGGGGCTCCCTGAGGTCACTCATCCTGCCGATGTGCAGGCCATTCGAATTGGTAATGTTCTTGCCGGTTTCTGTTGCAGTATTTTTGAGCTGATGCACCTGCTCCAGCGCCCGGTGGCGCTGGAGAACCCGGCACGTTCGCGTCTCTGGCTGCTGCCTCGTCTCAAAAAAGCCGCCGCATGGAGTACGAGCCACTTCGTGTATACTGGCATGCGCCAATGGGGGACACCCTGGAAGAAGCCCACCAGAATTTTAGGGGACCGCGTGTCTCTGCATTCTGTTGCCCGTGAATGTCATGGCAAGCTGTGCTCTCGCACAGCGAAGAAGCACACATCAATCCATGGCCTCGCACAAGGAGGCGGCTTTAAGACAAAAGCCGCTCAGCAGTACCCTCCAGCTTTGTGCAAGGCCCTTGCTCGTTGCCTCGATCACGCTCATGGCAGTTCTAAGACAATTGCATTGACCAGTCTTTTCGTTTGACGGTGAATAATTCAGCTTTGTATAGAGATGACCAAGGAATGTTTGGCAGTTTTGCGTATGTTTGTACCCTCGACTCAGTGTTTGTGCAGCTGGTCGTCGGCCACGCCTCCGCCCGCTGTCCAATCATCTTTGCCGGTGCACCTTCCTTGAAGCTTGCTCGGGCGCGCGGCGCCCCGATAAAAGGCGTCCTCTGGCCTCGGCAGCGGCGGCGGGAGGCATGCCCACTACTTCGTTGTAGATTGCCAGACGTCACAGCAGGAGAGGCCGCATGTCAGGGCCATGGATCTGTGCGGCATTCCTTTGCCATTCCATGGCCATTTGAGGTCTCTTTGTTGCGCTCCCAGCCCTCCCTCCCTCGCGCGTATGTTTGTACCCTCGACTCAGTGTTTGTGCAGCTGGTCGTCGGCCACGCCTCCGCCCGCTGTCCAATCATCTTTGCCGGTGCACCTTCCTTGAAGCTTGCTCGGGCGCGCGGCGCCCCGATAAAAGGCGTCCTCTGGCCTCGGCAGCGGCGGCGGGAGGCATCCTCCTCCTCCTCCTCCTCCTCCTCCTCCTCCTCATCATCATCATCATCAGCATCATCATCATCCACCTCTTCCTTCTCCTCTGCCTCCTCCTTCTCCTCCTCCCGCTCGTCACTTGTTCACCCCTCTTCCCCCTCCTCCCCATCTCCCCCCCGAGCCCCCCTCCTCCCCATTCCCTCCTCATCTCCTCCTCCCTCTCCCTTTCTTTGCCTCGCCCGCGACGCCTTCCTCTCCCTGCCTCGCCCGCGACGCCGGCCGCGCCAGGGTCCCGAGTGCGGCCCCCCGTCAGACAGAAGCCTCCGGCGGGCGGGCCCCCCGAGACGGGCCCGAGCGCGGCCGCGCCGTCGATGTACAGGGGCGCCGATGTACAGGGACTCGTTTTCTCATTGTCGGAGGCCTAAGGGGTTGACACCAGCGCCTGCACCGGCGGTGTGCCTCCACCGCGGGAAGGTGATCCCGATCTCGGCGATGGTGGTAGTACTCGGGCTTCCCAGGTGGCCGACAGATTACCCGGAGCACCAAAATCTGGGATCATCCTCTCTTGATGGGGGCAATCCCCTGTGTTGGTGTTGGTGCAACGGTCCAAGCCCCCAACACTTGTCACGGATGCTGCACGATCTCGCCTCTCGCATATCGGTCGTGTAGTTTTTCTTGGTTCGCCTGGCGACATCTCGCTTCAGAATGCAGTTGCTGCATCGTCGAGTGGAGTAGGGATGGTCGCGTTCCGCATTCCTCCTCCTCCTCGTCATCATCCTCTTTCTTATTTTCCTCCTCCTCCTCCGCCTCCTCCTCCTCCTTCTCGTCGTTCCCCTCCTCTTCCTCCTCCTCCTGCTCTTCCTCCTCCTCCTCCTCCCTCATATGTACACGTAACACCCCGCAGTTGCGGATAAGCGTGAGGGGGCGGCGGGGTCGTCGGCAGTCTCGGCAGTCTGCAAGGTTTTGAAGAAGCCCGCCGCAGGCACCCATTTGTTTATATGTTGCACAACGAGCCCGCCGCATTTTCGTCAAAGCGATGTGGGTTTGTCGTGGGTGGGTCGCGGGGGTGGGTCGCGGGCGAGATCATCAACAACAACAATAGTTTGAAGATTGTTCGCTCTTATTGGCACGCGTGTCTTGCATTCCGTATACCCCAACCCTCGATACCCGCCCGCTTCGTCTTCGATTGCACCCCATTTCGGGGGGAATCTTTTCCTCGTCGGCCACTGACTGAAGTGCGAAGAAGTCTCGATCGAGAGGGCCGTTCCTGAGTTCGGGGGCCTGTCTGGCCAGGAGCTCTCGGAATACCTATGGCGAAATATCAAACGGAAGCCCTTGTCGCCGTGTCCGGGCCTCAACCAACCTGTTTGAATTACGGGAAAGTCTCGAGCGAGAGTGCCGTTCCTGAGTTCGGGGGCCTTCTTGGCCAGGGGCTCTCGGAGTAAACCGTGAGGAAGCATCGAGCAGGAGCCCTTGTCGTCGTAGCTGGGCCTCCGCCAACTTGATTGAATTGCGAGGAAGTCTCGAGCGAGAGCGCCGTTCTTGAGTTCGGGGGCCTCTCTGGCCAGGGTGTCTCGTGGGTAAATTGTACGGAAGTATCGAGCGGGAGCCGTTGTTGTCGTAGCTGGGCCTCCAAGGGCCCACATTCAGGCCCAAGCCAACGCTCGAGCGGGAGCCTCGCTTTCAGAGAAAATACAGGCGGCGTCGAGGCGAGAGCGCGCGGAACCGTTTCCGGATATCAGCAACACTTATTCTTTAGAAATGAGACTTCAACAATCAGTCTAAGATTGTTCGCTCCTATCCGCTCACGTGCCAACTAATACGTATATCCCAAATCCTCGGTACCCGCCCTCGTCGTCTTCGTTCGCACCCCCTTGGGGATTTATCTTCCTTACCTGCCACGTGCCTTTAGCGCAGCACCTAAAAAAGGGGAAGAGAGGACGGGTGGATGGGGGAGGGAGAAGGATGGAGCACGAGACAAATTAGCAGGAGGGGGGAAAGCCAAGCGACCAGGCCGAGCAGGCTGGTTGCCGATGCGTGGGTCCTGCGTGAATCGCGAGGAAGTCTCGAGAGATAGCGGGATTCCCAAGAACAATCTGGAGAAAGCCCAAAGCGAGAGCGTGATTCCTGAGCGCCGAGAGCGCATCGTCTGAATAAATTGCGAGGAAATCCCACGCGAGAGCGCGACTCCTACATACATTTGAGAAAGTCCCGCGTGAGAGCGCGATTCTTCAATCAATTGCAGGGAAGTATCAGGCGGGAGCCGTTGTTGTTGTAGTTCGGGGGCCAGCAGAAGATTGAGCAGTAATATTTTCCCTGATAAGAGATAGGGTGCGAGCCCCAGGAGGGGCACTTCAATTCAATAACATATGCTACAGGAGGGTATCTACATTATTCATGTTTCAGAAATGAGAGACCCCAACATCAACAGCAATAATGTTAATGTTGTTCGCTCTTATCTGCTCGAGTGTCCGTCAACGCGTGTTTTCAAAACCCTCGATACCCGCCCTCTTCGTTTTCGATCGCACCCCTTTTGAGTTGTATAGTTTTCTTCCCTGCAGGCCGGGCCCCGGCAAGCGGCGGGGCGGTCGCGGACCGTCGGCCTGGCCAGCGGCAGCGCTAATCGGCGGCAACCCGACCCCAAGAGGGGCGGACAGGGGACCGACGACGACGACGACGACGACGACGACGACGAGGGCGACGGCGACGGCGACGACGACGGCGACGACGACGAAAGCGACGACGAGCGAAAGCGAGAACGAGAGCGAGAACGAGAGCGACAGCGGGGCCACGAAGGGCAGGAAAGGGGCCATGAAGGGCGACAGCGGGGCCACGAAGGGCACGCGCATGGGGCCACGAAGGGTGCGAACGAGCGGGGGCCACGAAGGGCGACAGCGGGGCCACAAAGGGCACGCGCATGGGGCCACGAAGGGTGCGAACGAGCGGGGGCCACGAAGGGCAGATAATGAGAGGCCACAGAGGGCAACGACGGGGCCACTGAGGATAGCAACGGGGCCACGCAGGGCAGCAAAGGGCGACAGCGAGGCCACGAAGGGCATGCACATGGGGCCACGGCGGGCGCGAACGAGCGGGGACCACGAAGGACATGCGCAGATGGGGCCGAAGATGGCAACGATGGGACCACTGAGGGCAGCAACGGGGCCACGAAGGGCAGCGAGGCGGCCGCGAAGGGCGACAGCGGGGCCAGAAACGCATGCATTTGGAGCCACGACGGGCGCGAACGAACGGGGGCCACGAAGGGCATGCGTATATTGGGCCGCAGAGGGCTGCGAGGGGGCCACGAAGGGCTGCAACAGGGCCACGAAGGGCAGCGAGGAGGCCACGAAGGGGTGCGATGGGGCCACCAAGGGCAGCGAGGGGGCCACGAAGGGCTGCAACGGGGCCACGAATGGCAGCGAGGGGGCTGCGAAGGGCTGCAACGGGGCCGCGAAGGGCAGCGATGGGGCCACGAAGGGCTGCAACGGGGCCACGAAGGGCAGCGATGGGGCCACCAAGGGCAGCGAGGCGGCCACGAAGGGCAGCGATGGGGCCACGAAGGGCTGCAACGGAGACACGAAGGGCAGCGAGATCCCAGTGCGTAAGTAAGCTGCGAGGGACTCCTTAGCGTGCGCGCGACTCCTGGTGCCTGAGTGTCGGGAACGCGGCGCTTGAGTACATTGCTGGGGGCTCCACCGCAAAAACGCGATTCTGGAATAAGTTGCAAGCGAGTCTCCAGCGAGAGCCCGACTCCAGAGCGCTGGGAGAGCGATCTTTCAATAAAGTATGCGGAGGTCCCAAGCGAGAACGCCATTCATGAGCAGAACGCGAGGAAGTCTCAAGCGGGAGCGGGGGTCCTGGCTAAATTGTGAAGAAGGTTCAGGCAGGAGCCGTTGAACTCTCATTCCTGAAGAATAATTATTGCTGATCCCCCCCGCTGGTGCACATTGATTTTATTCGATTGAAGTGCCCCCCCCGGGGCTCGCACCTTGTTTTTTTTTCAAGGGAAGTCTTCATGCTCAAACTGGGCCCCTGCCCCCCGGACTACAACAACAACGGCTCCCGCCTGAGATTTCCTTCAATTTTACCCAGGACTCCCGCTCCCGCTCTCAGACTTCCCGCAATTGTTAAGAACGGCGCTCCCGCCCGAGACGTCCTCGCAGTTTTGTCAGGACTTCCGCTCCCGCCTGGGATTTCCTCGCAATTTACTCAAGAAGGGCGCTCCCGCTTGAGACGTCCTTGCAATTATGTCAGGACCGCTGCTCCCGCCTAAGACTTCTTCGAAATTTAGTCAGGAACGGCGCTCCAGCTTGACATTTCTTTGCAATTTAGTGACGATCCTTGCTCCCAGGAACGGCGCTCCCGCTTGAGATGTCATCACAATTTAGCCAGGACCCCCGCTCCCGCCGGAGATTTCCTCGCAATTTACTTAGGAATGGCGCTCTCGTTTACGACGTCCTCGACATGTCTTGAATGTGCTGCCCGCCCGGCCCGCCTGTCAGGGTCTGTCCGCCCGACGTGGGCTCCCGCCGGAGACTTCTTACAATTTTTTCGGGACCCCCGATCCCGCCCGAGACTTCCTTGAGGAATGGCGTCTTCGCGGCCTAGGCGCCCAGACATTTTTTAGTTTTTTCGCCGGAAACAGACTTGCGACATCAGATGTCAGAGTCGGCTGCGTATTCTTTCGGCCGGATTGCGATCTGGGCTGCGATCTTCGCAGTGCAGCGTTTCTGGTGCTTCCCCGCCCTCTCCCGCTGATGCTGGGCCCCGCCCGGCTGTTCTTTCCCCCATCCATCCCTCCGTCCCTCTCCCTCCAGCCCTTTCCCTCCTCGATCATTCCCCCGGCCTTCTCCTCTCCCTCCCAGGCCGTCTTCCTTTGCTCTTACATATCCTTGTGCTCCTCAGTGCCACCGCTCGCGTCGTCGTCGTTTTTCTTCCCTGTGGGACCGGGGCCCGCTGTGGCTGGGGTCACACAAGGACGGAGATGGTCCCATCCCCTTGCTTAGGTACCCCCCATGTGGTCGGGGCCTCGGCGGCGCCCTTGGCGGGGTTTGGGCCTGCGACCCGATGGGCCGCCTAGGACAATCTAGGACAGATGCGGGCGCTTTATCTTGCTGGGGTAACTCCCCCAGAGGGTCCGGGCAGGGAAAGGCTTCCTGCTCAAACTAGGTTGTTGCCCCCCCGGCTCCAACAACAACGGCTCACACCTGAGACTTCCTCGCAATGTAGGCAAGACCCCCCCTCCCGCCTGGCTTCATTTTTTATTCAGGAATGGCGCTCCCATTTATGACTTCAGTAGAATTTAGTTAGGGCCCCGGTCCCGCTGGAGATGTTTGCCTTCGCTTTTTAGTCAGGGCCCCCGCTCCCGCATGAGACGTCCCCGCAGTTTATTGAAGGCATTCGTTCCGGCTTAAGACTTCCTCAGAAATTGGTCAGGACCCCCGTTCCCTCCAGAGACTTCCTCACGATTTACTCAGGAATGGCGCTCTCGCCTGGGTTATCGTACTCCTCCCATTCCGTACTCCCCCATCTCTTCTTGATCATTCCCCCCTTTTCTTCCATCTCCCCTCCTGCTGCTCGCCGAGAGAGCAAGCTGGAGCCCACACGGGAGAGGCAGAACCTGGGTTCTCGTAATCATCCCACTCCGTACTCCCCCATCTCTTCTTGCTTATTCCACTCTTTCATCTCCTCTCCTGCTGCTCGCCGAGAGATCAACCTGGAGCCCGCACGGGAGATTGTATTTGCCCTGAGGCCCT